AAAAAAAAAAAAAAAAAAAAAAAAAAAAAAAAAAAAAAAAAAAAAAAAAAAAAAAAAGCTAAAGAGAGTTGTTCCATTCCAACAAAGAAATGGGCATTAAGTAGAGGGCAAGTCAATTCTTACTTTCCTTCACACAAAATGAAAGGCATATAAATTAAAAATTCTCCTATTTAACAAAAAAAATAAAAAAGTTAAGTCTATACTTCCAAGCAAAGTCGTTTGCATTAAACTAACCCAATGACATGATAAACATGTCGGGTTTCAAGAATAAAGCTGAGTCGGCTGACACTCAAAATGGACAATATCATACCTTTGATCGATCAAAATAGGCCATTTTCTTTCGTATTTAAGGCACCTACCCAAACTCACCAAATCATTGAATAGTGAAAATGGCATTTCAACAGATTCTTATTCTGTTTTTCTTTTATGTTGGAGTGGGGCAGTGGTTGAAAGAGATGGTGGTTTGCTTTGTCACATTTGGCTTTGAGTTGAAGCTGGGAATTGATGTATAATCTATCTTTGCTGCATCAATGGATGAAAACTCATCTTCCTGCATTCATGGTACACTCCCTAGCACGAACGATGGCTTACCGTTCAATCACGTCCAACCCTGCATCGTCAAGTAACATCATTGATGCAGTATTTGTCGACAAGAGATGTCAAAAAATTGCACACATGAGCATGTCTCAAATATTCAGTAACTTGGCTCCACATTCAAAGGGGTCCACGAAAACAGGGATATAATGTAACCAGCAGCAATTCACCTAACCATACTCCAAAACTAGAAAGCAACTGTTTGAGAGGTCTATATCTGACAGTTCTTTCGCTTTTCTTTTCAAATTGTTTACGAGAACGGTTTAGGCATCTAGGAAGATCCTAAACAGAAGAAAAAGAGAATCAACTGTGAGATCCCATGTCGGTTGTAGAAGGGAACAAAACATTTCCTATAAGGGCGTGGAAACCTCTCCCTAGTAAACGTGTTTTAAAATCGTAAGGTTGACGACAATACGTAATGGATCAAAGCAGACAACATTCACTAGCGGTGGGTTTGGACTGTTACAATGACGGAAGCACATTCAATCACTTCAGCTCCAACATGTTCTGAAAAACAATTCATTTAGATTACAAATAATTGAGTGATCACAAAACGAACCGTTTAAAATGATCACATAGCCAACCTAAAATAAGTCTTTTGGATTAGACAAATACCATCGGACTAAGAGGTCACAAGTCCGAAACCTCCTCGACATGTCGACGTACTAGAATCTACAGTCAATAGCCAGTTGATATTGAACAATAACATCAACTATTTGGTTTGCTTTCTGAAATAGACAGATTCTGCAATAAGGACAGAATCTCTGTTTAGGCACTGTGTTTGTACTAAAGCTTCAGGGCACTGAGTTAGAGGCTTTAAAAAAAGACACAAGGACTTCATAACAACCAAAAACAGGAATCAAATCCGGACCAGAAATGACAGTTTTTATATCATAGATTTTTCTACCGTTGCCAAATAGTTGTAATGCCATAAGTTATGATATCCCACTACACACTGAGTCACTGACCTAACTAACTTCTTTAGCTTATATAACGGTATCAAAAGTAGCTCACCAAGTAAATTCATATTGCAATCAAGTCGTTCACGACTAATGCTTGTTCATGTGGCTTGACGGCTCCAACATGCATCTCAAGCCAATCACTTCCATATCCTAATGTGTACTTTTCAGAAACAACTTCTCCTGATATGGTGATAGTGATAGTGATAGTGATAGTTGAGTGAAATTCAGTCTGGATATAGAAGGAAGAACTTCAAGACAGGAAAGTATGACAACAAAAGATGTAGTTAGTTAGCTTAAGCAAGTAAGCGGGGAAGCAAAAGGAGACGAGTAAGTGTATGAATGCTTGAAACTATGTCTTGGAACATGATACCTGCCATTGCAGCCATCAACATGAACAAAATAAAATAAAACAACCATTAAAACACAAAAGGGTCTCATTATAAACACCCAACAAATTTCAAAAAAGAAGAACAACAACAAAATTCCCAAATCATAACCAAAAATGGGTAATGGGTCATCTTCCTCCCTTAAAAAGAACGAACCCCAAGATCCGTTTAACAAGAAACAAGACAGTGAATACATACAGCCTCCCAATACAATGCACGGTTTTAAAGAAATATCAATAGGAGCAAACCTGGTTGAGGGAAATTAGGCACAACGCGAAACTTAATCCTGATGCCATGGATGCGAGGATCCTCGTCTCTGTAAGCTGGCTTGTCGAAGGTTATAACAGGACAACAAAATAAAACCCAAAAGAGAAATGATCACAACTCTACCTCACTGACTGAAAGAAGGCAGTTCAAAAGGCGAAGGGCAGAGGGGAAATGGGTTTAAGACAGAAAAGATGAAAATATAAATAAAATGGAGAAATGGTTCGAAACTGTGGGAAGGAATTCGAGAGAGAAATGGTCAAAAGAGGAAAAAGGGGGAATAAGAAACAGAAGGAGAAAGGGAAAGGCGCTGTTTATGGCGATTTCGCGCGCTCTGGCAGTGTCACTAAGACATCCAATTGGGATTGGGACCGTCTTTTCCAAAATGCCCAAATAAGTGCTTTTTTGTTTTAAACGAAAAAGTTCGACTCTTTAGTTCATAGTTCATTTATGTACGCTGAAGTTCGAGCCATGGCTAGAAATTTGCATCAATATTTTCATCCAACTTTGTAGCAACACATTTTGAAGGAATCAGTTTATTGGTGTACTTCAATGAAGATTTTCCGTAATTTTGTTTCTTAATTTAACGATCAGAGATTGAACTATCAGCCTAATAATGTTATCTCAAACTCGTTCTAACACTTTCGAGTCTATCAAATTCTCTTAACCATCTTACTCGAGTAGCCTGGTAGTAGGAAACATGTTGAAACTAATGTATCGAGAGAGACAACGCACTCCTGTACAGGTTTGTTTCAACAATTCAATGCTCAGAATAAACTGAATCCGCATTTAACTGCAACACTCCAATAATTTGCCCATGAGTTATTTCAAGTAATCTGCAGTCTGCAACTGAGCAGTGTTTCAAAAGCAAGGTCACCATTGAAAGAACTTTCACAAAATGGTTCTTCGTCTGGATCGTTTGCTCTTCGTAGGCGCGCACCATTTCTGTCCATCTTGCATTTTAGCTCGGATTTTTCGGTATTCTCTTGACCGTAAAACAGCCTCCATAATGTTAATATCTTCACAAATCTCATGTCTTGAAAGACAGGATAGACTAGGAAGTATCTCTCTCTGGAAGTCTTTCAATCTTCTTCCCCGCCTCAACTTAACGCCAACATTCATGTTCTCCATGTCAACTACTTCAGACAGCTGCGACGATACAGAGAACTCATCGTCTTCACCGTTTTCTGCTTGCTTTAGAACTAGTAACTCAAAGGAATCAGAAGAATGCTGTGGTTGATCCACCCGAACTTTTCCCGTGCCATTAGATTCTGTTTTTGTGTTACACTCATGAGCTTCGCTCGAATCAGCCAAAGACATAGAAACAAGCGACTCAGCCGCATTTTGAAGTAGAAGTTTCATTTCAGAAGATTCTTCATCATGTTCTGATTCAATGCTACAAGAAGATTTATGATCTTGCTCAGTGGACAAGATGGTTTCTGTACTATGCAGCCCCTTTTGAGTTTCATAAGACTGTTTACTAGAGAGACTCAAAATTTGCACCTTTTTCTCCCCACCAGAGTCATTTTCTGCATTACAAGTAGACATGCCCGAAATCGTCAATACTCCGTCGCAACCATCTTCTGCAGCATGATTACAGTCAGAGCATACTTCACTCTTTCGAACCCTTGTATGCCTGTCAGCAGGAGGCTCAATTACAGCCTCCAATTTTTCACTTTTGTCGTCACGACAGTTCCTAAAGTTGTTAGAACCGTTTACTATCGACTCCATCGGAGCTTCATCACATTGAGTGCTATACATTTCACATGTATTTGTTCCCTTAAATTTGGACTCTGTAGTGTGAGTTTCATTTGCATCCTGATCAAGTGTGGAAGATTCAGTAGAACAGTTATTCTTCTGTTCGACCCTAATAGGGGAGGCGCAATTCGCTTGTTGTACCTTGCCAACTGCTCCCTTGAAACCAGATGATGATGTCGAGGTTGAATAGCGAGTCATAATAAGATCATTCGAGTGACAAGATGAATCATCATTCTGAGCTTCATTAAGGTCCAGATATCCTGCTTCATAGGACCCAAACTGTTGGCTCTTGATAGGGAGATAGTCACTTGAGATATGACCATGGCTATTTTCAGATTCTGCAGAAATGACAGCACTTGAGAAATGCTAAATGGAAATAAGATCCCAATAAGATGGATCATGAAACTAACCTTTACCTGTGCATTCAATTGTTGGAACATTTAGATCTAAAGAATATACATTTTCGGCATCGTCGTCAATCGAATCTTCCAAATCAATAACTTCTTGAGAGAGCATACAACGAGACTTCTCGTGCAGAAGTGTTTCTTTGTCGCTCTCCTTTTCTCGGTTCCCCACTCCAAGATCTAGAGAAAGATCTAACTCTTCCAAGTCTGGTTCTCAAAGATTACCACCACAACAAGAAATCTTACTTTTTGAATTTCATTATATTGAGATCAGGTACATTTGAGAACCCTTACCAATGAGGCTAATGTACTGATCTGCAGGAAGCTGCAAATCAAGATGCTTGAGCTGAAGCTTATGGTTTTGAGCTGCCCGCTTTTGAAGCTATCACAAAAGCAAAGTTTTGAGTCATTCATCACTGCAACGAGTTCGAGTTTATCCAACAAACTCTTGTTTATTTCACAAGATAATATACTCCTAAAAGTCAGCAAACTCATTTACCATACGAATCGAGAAAACTTCGGTTTCTTTCATAAATGGATCATATCTTGCAGGATTTGCATATGGCATGAAAGTTGATTTCATCCCGGCTTTCCTAAAACCGTGTCGGTCAAACTCCTCGAAGCCAAGATTCTGCATCAGTATCCTTTGTACATCGTACAATCGATGTAATTCAAGAACCTGAAGCAATATGAGAAGATAAATAGAACAACTAGTTACAGTTAAGTAAGAACCTTATTAGAGATCATGAATTGTGCTCCCAATACCTGATTTCTAAACACAACTTCCTGGCTCAGCATGGTTTCCTTCAATGCATCTTTAAACGAACCAGAATACATTTGTACTAAATCTAAACTCAAATCTCCTTGAACCAACATTGCCCCCTTAACCAGACTATCCCTCACATTGGAATAAAAACTCGCCCCCTTAGCCGTGACATAAAGAATGCTTCAAGCAGACGACTTCAATAACCAGCAGCCATCATTGTAAGTTATCTAAAAGGAAATGTAAAGTTTCTCAAAGGACACAGAGACATATTTCTACAAAAATGTATAAATTGACATAGATAGCGATGCATTGTACAGATAAGGCAGCCTACCGCAAACACTCAACAAATATCAATAAATTGAAGTTCATAGTAAGAGTTCCGCCAAACATCGTGCATTTTGAAGACATTAAACAAAAGGGTCGAATTCACAAGATCCCACAAGTATACATAACAAAGGATTCTGCCCTTTGAGAGGCAAAGGGCTTGAAGTAGAGACAGTAATCGAATACCCATTCTGAACCCCACATCGTTTTTCCCAGAAAGAAATTAAAACACAGAAAGAGACAAAGAGAGTTAGAGGGTACCATGAGAGAAAGATCCAAAAGCAGGGGAAATGGAAACATGGGGTTGGTTGTTGGGTGTTCGGAGTGTTGAAGTGGATTAGATGAATGGAGAAGAAGATGGGTTTGTTTTATTGTGGATTGTTGTTGAGATTCCGAGAGAGAAAGAGGTGGAGAGGGAGGAGGGGGGGCTGAGGGTAAGGAGCAGAAATGCGTGCGTCGGGAAAGGATCACAAAAAAGTACGTTTTTTTATTTTATTTTTTCTTTTTCTTTTCTTCTGGACTAACTTTTTCCATTTCATTTGCGCATTGATATTTGTGCCGCTGTCTTTTTCCCTCTGAAACATCGTGATTCTTTGTTATAACTCATAACTCTCTTTTTCATTCGTTAACCTGCTCCTCTCACACATCTTGCTGTGTGGACGCCCGTCTCCTCTACAATCTGCTTACCTGGCCACTTGCCTCCTGCTGATGTGGATATTAAATGCTTCCCTCTTCCACGCTAAACTCATTTGATTGGTCCACGTCCTCCTACTCTTTCAACCCTCACCCCCTCCCAATACAATTTAGTATTTTCTAATTATCTATTTATTTGACCGTAGACTTAAAATTTGGTTATTAATTTAATTTTTTTTTTATTATAAGGCTGTGGAAACATTTCTCTAATAAACGCGTTTAACCTTTGGTAGATTGCGAGATCTCACGTTAGTTGTAGCAGAGAACGAAACATTTCATATAAGAGTATGGAAATCTCCCTCTAACATACGCGTTTAAAACAATGAGCTAAAATAGATAATATCTGTTAACGGTAGACTTGAGTGAGCTAAAGCGGACAATATCTAAGGGGAATGAAGTATTTTATACAATGGTGTGTAAACCTCTCTTTGACAAACGCGTTTTAAAATTATGAGGCTGACAGTAATACGTAACGAACTAAAACGAAAAATATAGACAATATCTATTAACAATGAGCTTAAAACATATTTGTGTGCCCCGGGATGGGGACAAAGCATAAACGAATTTAACGGATCAGTACAGCTCAAGGAATGCCTCCGGCTTCCCCTTCAATAATTAAATAATGCAACTTGATATAAATTAAATAAACAAGCCTTTTAGAATATATATAGATAATATTCAATTTTTCAAGACAAATAATACATACATAATATTATACTATATGCACCCACTTTAGGAGACAGCTGGCTGTGGCCCCACCGCCACTATTTTTTTTTTCCTTAAAAATAACTTTTCAGACATTTTTAATCATACAAGCAATTCTTTTATTTTTTATTTTTTATTATTGTTCTTTTCTTTCTCGAAGTGTTATCACACATAAGTACACATCAACTAAAAAAAAAACTCATATATTAGTACATGTAATTTATAACTAATAAGGAGTTTGAATTATCCATTAAATTGATACCCGTAATTGATGGATGTTACAATACTATACCCTTAATTAATGGGTCGGTTTCACAGTCTAGCTTCTTAGAGCTAATCTTCATCTTGCTCAAAGAAACTTTTGCATGTTTTTATCATCTTTTGAGAAGCATTATTAACGTATCAACCTCCATTTATTAGTTGCATTTAACTGTAATAACTCTAGCGATTAGGTACATCAATATGTATTTAATATATACATTTTTAACCTACTTTATTCTAATTTAACCAATGTTTAAATAAAAAAGCAGCTATATTGGAAAGATTTTCGAAAATACAAGAATATACAACAAAAATTTAATTTACTAATTGGTTAATATCTTTCATGTGCCATTGGTAACCGAAACAAATAACTAACGTTGGGTGGACCTGTAAATCCCAAAAGGAAATGGGAGTTACGTGATGAACATAAGGGTTTTAAAAGTGGTTTAGATTGGAAGCTGTGGAATTAATTATGCGTTAGGATAGGTGAATTTGTTTTGACTTTTCCGCTAAGCTACTGCTAGACACTTATAAATGAAAAATCAAGCTTGGTGGAAGAACGCAACGCATGTCTGGTCTGTGCCTTCCATTTTCAGTTGCATATTGCTGACATTGGAGTCTCCGCTATTGGGTTCTGTATGCTGTTTTCTTCCCATTCTTCATTTTCTTTGAGTTCTTGTAGCTTTTCCAAGTCTCTCTCTGTTTTTTTGTTGTGGGTTTCGAGTGTTTAGTGAAATGGTTAATACATCAGGGCTTTTTGCAACATCAGCTCCGAGTCTAAGGACGAGGCATTCGTTCTTAGGGGGCAATTTTCGATGTGGGTTTGGATCATATGGTGGTGTAGCTAATAAGGTAATATTCTGCTCTGCTTCCACTAGGGCAGAGATGGTTTCGTCTGGAGCTTCTCCTTCTCAATCTCGGATGCTTAGGTAAATCTGTTTCTCATTTTTCATCTTCAATCTTTATGTGGTTCTGAGATTGCCTGCATTGTCTAGGACTTGTTACTGGAGCTTAATGCATGAATGGATTGGCTAAAGAAAGGTTATAGATGGGCTTCATTTGATATTTTGTGTATTTAATTGGAAGGGGACTTTCAGTTTGTTGAAAATGGTGTAGATGATCTTATGGTGATTCAGACCGTGGCACTAAAAACAAAAACATGTTCTTTTACAGGCTTGTCAGTAGAGGGTGTAAGCTAGTTGGGTGTGGCTCCGGTGTACCAAGTTTACAGATTTCAAACGATGATCTTGCCAAATGGGTTGACACAAATGATGAATGGATATCTGCTCGTACTGGGATTCGCAATCGACGGGTGATTGCAGGTGCGTGCTGTCAAATGAACAACTTACCAACATTTACATTACTTTGTTCACTCACTTTTTAGACTCTAGCTATCGTTCTTGAATATTTTGGTCGATCATTGGTAAAAATTCGTTTAGCTTACTCTCGAACTTGCTATATGGATTTTACTAGCAGTTATTTTCCCTTCATTATACGATTTCTTTCTATACGATCAAGCCCTCTCGACTTTCGGGCGTATCGGTACCGTTGGGTATAGGGATTCTTCTTTATGGGGTCCTAATTTTCTAAGTTGCCTTCCATGTGCTTACTCAACAGCTTCGTGGCTTTCTATTTTCAAAGATTTATAGCTTTCCTCGTTCGTTTCACAGGAAAAGATAGCCTGATAGGTTTGGCAGCAGAGGCAGCAAGGGGAGCTCTACAAATGGCTCAGGTTGATCCTGATGATGTAGACTTGATATTAATGTGCACTTCAACACCAGAGGATCTTTTTGGTTCTGCTTCACAGGTATAAGTTCAGTACATCATTCATCCCAATATTGAATTGATAATAGATATGAAGCAGAGGAGATAGATCATATGAACCAGCCAAGAGTTTTATTGGCAGGTTCGTTTTGTAGCTCCTAACCTGCAGCTCTTTCGATAACAAATCGAAAGGGAAAGCCCAAAGAGGACAATATCTGGTAGCGGTGGGGTTGGGGTGTTACAAGCGATATTACTGAATTTATCTGAACCTCATGCTTTTCTAATTATGCATTACTGCATCCCAGATCCAAAAGGCTCTTGGTTGTAAAAGACATCCTCTATCGTATGATATAACAGCTGCATGTAGTGGATTTCTACTGGGTTTAGTATCAGCAGCTTGTCACATAAGGGGTAAAGAATCCTGATTTGGTCTTGTTGCTTGGATCATATTTTGACTTGCATTATAAAACACTAAACTACCTTAAACTGCAGGAGGTGGATTTTCTAATGTTCTCGTCATTGGTGCTGATGCCATTTCTCGTTACGTCGACTGGTCTGATAGATCGTCCTGTATTCTTTTCGGAGACGGTGCTGGTGCTGTACTATTGCAGGTAAAAGTTCGATACTCGGAACGGTATACAGCAGCAAGCTTAAGAATTCATTTCCTAATTGATTTGGTTTCAGGCATGTGATGTTGAGGAGGATGGTTTATTTGGTTTTGACTTGCATAGTGATGGGGATGGCCGAAGGTGTGCTTCTCTGAATTCTTCCTTATTCCATTTCATCATTCCATATGATTAGAAACGTAAATGTGGAACAGGCATTTGAATGCTGGGATCAAGGAAAAAGAAATGGATCAAAAATTGGGTTCTAACGTCTCCCTGATCGGTTTTCCTCCGAAAAACGTCACGTATTCTTGTTTGCAGATGAATGGCAAAGAGGTATTTCGATTTGCTGTTCGCACCGTGCCACAGTCGATCGAGGCTGCTCTTCAAAAAGCTCGTCTCAGTTCATCAAACATTGATTGGTTGTTGTTACATCAGGTATCTATTTCTTATCATCCATCTCTTTTCCAAGATTTCTACAATGCTGCTGATTTATAAATATGCAGGCAAACCAAAGGATCATCGACGCAGTCGCAACACGTTTAGAGTTCCCATCGGAGCGTGTGATATCGAACGTGGCTAACTACGGTAACACGAGCGCAGCCTCGATTCCATTGGCACTGGACGAAGCTGTTCGAAGTGGGCGGGTGGAGGCAGGACACTTGATTGCAGCTTCAGGTTTCGGAGCTGGTCTAACCTGGGCGTCTGCAATTATTCGATGGGGTTGAAGCTCAAAAACACATGTTCTTGCAGATTTTGAGATATGCTGCAATGACAACAATAACACTAGCTTGGCTTATAGATTTGGAGCACAAAGAACTGAACTTTCATTAATAATTTGGTGCTATTTCTGTTGCTCTAAAAATAAATGATCATAAGATATCTCAACGCGAATAAAATTAAATTTTAGTTTTTATAATGTTTAAATCTTAAGAATTAGTCATTGTAATTAGATAAAATTAATTTTTAGAATCAGAGTGAGCTTGTAATTAGCGAATGATTTGTTTTAAACTATAAAAATTAAATTTAAGGATTTAATCTTAAATTATCCGGGTGTAGTACTCGCTGTACTAGCTCTTGATCTGAAATAACGGTCTTTGTTTCACTCACTCAATCGCAAATCCAAAATGTCTCTCTCTTTGCAATCTCCGCCGTCTGCAACCCTTTCGCCGTTGCCGTTGCCGTTGCCGTCGTCTTCTTCCTCTCTTCAGGTATCTCCCCTTTTGACTTTCGTTTGTAGTCGTGAATTCTGTACTCCATAGCTCTGATTGAAATCTTCAATTGTTGTTATCAGAAAAGATTGGGGTTCTCGGTTGGATTCAGACCCACCAATCTAATTCCCCATTCTCGTAGATCTCTTTCTCTAATTTGTGCTTCCGCCGGCTTCTCTTCGTCACTCGACACTGGTTCGATTCTCTCCTTTTACCCTCTTTTGTGTGATTTGAGCTCAACAACGCCCGCACTGCATTTAGCTTCTTGCCTGCTTGTTTTCAGGTTTGAGAACTGAGCTGGATGCTGTTTCTAGCTTCAGTGAGATCGTTCCTGACACCGTCGTTTTCGATGATTTCGAGAAGTAAATGAACTAATTATGCACTATCGTTCTTGATAAGCCTTATCATTTTTCATTTTGTGTAGCTTTGTTGGATTAGTGGGTTATGTTTCTCTTTGGAACTGCAGGTTTCCTCCTACTGCTGCTACCGTCAGCTCTTCTCTCCTTCTGGGCATATGTGGCCTTCCTGATACCATATTTAGAGTACCCATTCAGCATTCTTTTCTTTGTCTTAGATAATAATTACAGAATTTAAACAAAGGCTCCCTATTTAGTCTGTTTATTGTGTGTCATTTTGGAAGTTTGTGATGTCCTACAGAATGCGGTTGATATGGCATTGGCGGATTCTGAATGTTTTGGAATAGACAACCCTGAATTGAAATATTCCTGCATGTTTAACAAGGTCGCTTGTTTCTTTTTACCTTACTTGTTGGAGATTATTTGCTATTTTGTGAAGATCAACAAATGGTACGTTGGGTCTCGATTTGCAGGCTCTAGTAAACGTTGGTGGTGATTTGGTGAAACTAGTTCCTGGACGTGTTTCAACCGAGGTGGATGCGCGTGTTGCTTATGACACACATGGCATTATCAGAAAGGTTTATCCTTGTTTAAGTCTCAGATAACTTCAAATATGGCTAGACTACTGGGATGTTGGATGTTTGGCCTCTTGTACTTATAAATCTTATAGGTTTTTTTGTTTGTGGACCAAAGGTGCATGACCTGTTGAAATTGTACAATGAAATTAATGTTCCTGCTGAGCGGCTGCTGTTCAAAATTCCATCAACTTGGCAGGTGAATTCTGACTTTTGAACCGAACGGGACTGTAATATTGATTGTGAGAATTCGAGTTGAGGTAAATATACTGATCTGCAAACCAATGGTTTCGATATCATAGGGAATCGAGGCCTCAAGATTGTTGGAATCTGAGGGAATACAAACACATTTGACTTTTGTTTACAGGTACGTTAATCTCATTGAATTTAAAAGATTTGAAGCCTGTATGCATATTGATTAGTTTTACCTTTGTTGTTCGTTTATCCTGGATTAGATTTATTTGTGATCTAAATGCTGTGGGAAGTGTTTGTATAGTGAAATTATCTGTGAGATCCTACACGGTTGGGGAGGAGAACGAAACATTCTTTATAAGGGTGCGGAAACCTCTCTCTAGCTGACGTGTTTTAAAAGCCCAAAGAGGACGATATCTGCTAGCGGTGGGCTTGGGCTATTACGTTATCTGTTTCCAAACCGATGTTGGGCAAGATAATTAGATGAAACAAAAACAAGAAGATTTATAGGTCTCAATTAAAACGTGCCTATCATTCTTGCTGCATAATTTTGACCCTTACATTTTGTTGACGGCCTCTCCATGTTTGTATAGTTTTGCTCAAGCAGCAGCTGCAGCCCAAGCTGGTGCCTCTGTCATTCAGATTTTTGTTGGTCGCCTACGTGTAATTGTCTTACCACTTTATAGTATCAATCAGAACACTATCTTGCCGTCTTTTGACCTTTCTGATGTACTTAACTGCGCCTCAGGATTGGGCTCGCAATCACTCCGGTGATCCCGAAATCGAAGCTGCTCTCAAAAGAGGAGAGGATCCTGGGTTGGCTTTGGTTAGTTGACTTTGGATAATGATGTTCACATAAACAGTAATGGCTAAGAATACTAATATAATGGTGTATTCATTATTGCAGGTGACAAAGGCTTACAACTACATTCACAAATATGGATACAAATCAAAATTGATGGCAGCAGCTGTTAGGAACAAGCAAGATCTGTTCAGTCTTCTGGGGTAAATCATATGAACTCATCTTTCTTCTACCGAAAAATTCATGAAATCATGGTACTTCTCTAATCACTTCTACTAACAAAACCATTTCTTTATCCCTTCAGCGTGGATTACATAATTGCTCCATTGAAGGTATTACAGTCCCTTAAAGAATCTGTTACCGATCCAGACGATAAGTTCTCGTTCATTAGGAAGCTGTCCCCGCAATCCGCAGCTAACTACGTTTTCAGCGACGAAGAGGTCCACTTTTTTTCCTTGAACTTCTCCTATTCTACTCGCACGTTAAATGTTTTATAATATGAATGTCGAGAAATGTCATAGGAAGACGTAGAAATCTATAACAATGGTATATTAATCAACATTTTCAGGTTAAAAAGTGGGATCAATTAAGCGTTGCTTCAGGAATGGGGCCTGCAGCTTTGAAGCTACTGGCTACTGGACTGGAAGGGTATGTTGATCAAACCAAGAGAGTTGAGGAGCTTTTTGGGAAGATTTGGCCACCCCCAAATGTATGAAGCTTTGTTTACTATCTGGAGAATGTTGGCTTTTCATGAATAAAGAGGGGGATGGTTGGCTGTGTCTGAGAATCCTCTAATAACTCTGTTCTGCAACTCCTTGCTTTTCCAGTACAACTTAATGTTAGAATAAGATGTTTTTTTAAGCTTTGGTTTCAGATTTTTGTTTTGAACAAATTGTCCCAAATGACTGGAGCTGCTGCTTCTCGTTCGAGTCGATCTGTTTGCACTTTTCTGCAAGTTTGCCGACTTGTTATGGGGAGGATCATCGGGAGAAGAGTCTTACATCGTCTAATTAAGGAGTCGATCATGGATGGGCTAATTAAGGAGTTAGAAACTGTCTACTTGAGACTGTCCCTTGGCCCGTAGGTTGGTCCTGACGACGTGGATCATTTTAATGGGCTTTTCCATGGGTGATTCAACTCCAGAACTTTAGGCCCATTATTTATTGGGCCGTCTGTTAAACAATTGGCATTAATTTTTAAAAATCAAATAAACTTCCCTTTTATGATTAGTTTATTTTTTGTTATTTGTTTTTTTAAAGATGAATTCTATAAATAATAAATGTATTTAATTATCTCCAACTTACCTGTAATTTTTTTTAAAAAAAATGGTACGAGGTTTAATTAACAACAAGAAACTATATTATTAAACCAAACAGTGTGTTTGGAATCTTGAATCCCAAAGAGGGGCCCACACCCCTCGACATTTATGGTAGGGCCCACATTTCTTGACCCAAACAAAATGCTGCACGGCTGGCAATCACGTGCCGCTCTTAGACAGATTTAAACGTTATTCCAATATTTTATTTACATACGTTGTCTTCTCCCCTTTCCTCCGCTCTTTATTTTATTTATTTATTATTTTGTTTCCCTTCCAATGGACTTGATTTAATGCCCATGCCATGCCACATAATGGCCATATATATATACATATATATATATATATATATATATAAAAGTTAATTAAATACAAAATAAATGATATAACGCATTGGTTACACGCGCGCGTAAATATGTGTGTTTACCGACAACTGGGTTTCTCTCTCCAATTCTGGCCTCTTTTCCAGTCTGTTTGTTCGAACGGGGATTGGGGGTCTTGGGAGGCGACCGGTTACCGACAGAACCAAGGCACCATAATTGAAGGGAAAAAAAAGGAAAAACAATAGCCAACGCAATTGCTCTGTCTTTCACTCTCTCCTCTTCTTATAGCTAAAACCACTGCAAATCTCTGCAATCTTCCACTATCAAAAGCAGTGAACAAATATAGCCGTTTTCGATTCCTTTTCCTCTTCTCTTTTTTTTTTCCTCTCTCTCTTTCTTTCCACTGTCTTCCATTTCTCGAAGCTCTTCTCCCCAGATAATGTAAAGCAGAGGTGTTCCCCAGTCAAGTCTTTCATCACCCATCAAAGATTCTGTGGAATGGCTCCGTTTCCTTACCTATCGCTCTTTCTCTTCCCCATTTGCCTGTTTGTGACCCTCTCCTCGGCTGCAGATCCGTTTGCTTTCTATGATTTTGAAGTCTCTTACATCACTGCCTCTCCTCTGGGAGTCCCTCAACAGGTCTATTTTCCTTCCATCTTCTTTCACTCTGCAATTTTTTATGCTATGTTGCTGTTTTTCCTGTTCTGGATTCTCTCCTTAGCTGCATGGGAGATGGGTTCGTGTTGGATTTTAAGAATGTTTGGGTTTTTAGCTCTAGATCTTCTTTATATGCTGATATGTTTTGGAGAAACAGAGTACATTGATGGAATTGAGCCGAGAGCAACTGAAGGAAGACTAAATCTTCATTTCTTTCTAGTTTTTTTTTTCTTTTTCAATTTATTTATTTCTTCCTTGGGTTTTGCAGGTTATTGCAATAAATGGGAAGTTTCCTGGTCCTACTATCAATGTAACTACTAACAACAATGTAGTTGTCAGTGTGAGGAACAAGCTGGATGAGAGCCTTCTCATGCATTGGTATTGTTTGATTATAAATTTAGTGAACTCTGTGGCATTTTATGTTGATTTATGATTGTAGAGCTAGTTTGAGAATGGAAAGATTGATATTTGTGTGGTAATAGGTCTGGAATTCAACAGCGGCGAAGTTCATGGCAAGATGGAGTTCTTGGAACAAATTGTCCAATTCCTCCCAAGTGGAACTGGACTTACCAGTTTCAAGTCAAGGATCAGATAGGGAGCTTCTTTTACTTTCCATCACTCCATTTCCAGAGAGCGTCCGGTGGATTCGGTGGCTTCTTTATTAACAACAGGCC